GCCGCCGCCGCCGCCGCTGCGCTCCCGCCTCCTGCCCGCTCCCGGGCTCCTGCTGCAGCTGCGGTTCGGGTGGCCGAGCCCCGCGGCGTTGCGGCTCGGATCTGGCGCCCCGAACGATCCGCGCCCCTGTCTCGCAGCTCGCCGCCTCCCAATCCGCGCGCCGCGCTGCGGCAGGTGCCCCGGGCGTCCTGAGGCGCGGTGGCCTGAGCCCGGCCGCCATCGATGACCCAGGTCACGGACCTGCTCCAGCCTGGCCACCCCGTGTGAGTACTGTCCCCTCCCCTCAGGCGGCTTTGCGCCACCGTCCCCCTTACGTTGCAGCAACTTTGGGGGTAGGTGTGTGGAGGTGCCTCTCATGTCCCCCGACACCCCGTGCGCGTCCCGAGCCAGGGTCCCGGGCTTGGCCAGCCCACCGCTGCGGAGGGGCACGGGGGTGGGGGCGTTGAACTTGCGTCGTCGCCGAGTGGGAACCGTGCCTTCCTCCCGCTGCCGGGGCCGAAGCTCGCGTCTGTGTTTCCCTCGCGGCTTTCGATGCCCAGTGGCCACGTAGCTCTTGGGCTGTTGTTCACCGCGCACCTACTACGCTACGGGCGCACCGGCGGGGCACATGAAACCATCCGGTAAGCGCCCGGAAGCAGCCCAACGCGGTAGACTTGACTCTTTCGGACTCTTAAATTCTGTAAAATGGGGCTAATCAGGGATTCGCTCAAGGTCACAGCTGGTGCACGGAGCAAGCATCCGAGTTGATTGCGCCTGGCCGGTCCCCGGACTGCCTGGAGCGGGGCGCGCTGTTGCGGGGAAGAAGGGGGGGTGGTCCCTTCAGCTTCATCCCAGTCTCTTCCTCATACTCCCTTTCCCCAACTCCGCCTTATTTGGAGAGGTCGGGAGCCGATCCCAAAGGACCCCGCGGGGGACCTTTGGAGCCAGCGCGGAGAGGAGCAGTTCCGCGGTGGGAACCCCTGGACCTGCCGCATTTGCAGTAGTATCCCCTCCATTCCCCGTCACTTCATTTGCTAACGTCTCGGCAGAGTCAGCGGAATTTGCTAGGTGCCTGCTCTTAGATCCGTCCCGCCTCATCGCCTTCTCCCAAATAAGCCCTGCCTGTTCCCGAGGATAAGTATCCGAGAGACTCGACCCGCACATACCAGTTTGGGCCCAGGGACTTCCTAAGAGAAGCAGGTACGTTCCGAGGTTGGCTTCCCCGACACACTGGCCTCCATCTGCTCTTAGAAAATGCCTCGAGTCTGGCTTCCTTTCTGCCCACCCCTCCTCCCTACCCCTTGATCTGGATTTGTTAAAAGCTTTCCCAGGGCAGGGTGAAGTCCGGTCCCAGAATGTGTAAATGTCAGAAGTGAATCTTTTACTCCAGATCCTTCGAGGCATCTCCTGTGGGGCTGTGAGCGGTCCTAAGAACTTTGGGCTGGGGGAGAGGGTCATCCCTCCCTTTTGACCTCCCTTTTTGACAGATCGCCCCATCCCTCCAACTCAGCCTCCCTCACCCCAACTCGGTGATGAGATGATTACTTAGCTTTGTGATGTTTGACAAACATCTTTGAGCCTCAACTTTTTTTTTTAATCTACAAAATGGAATAATCTCTGCCTTTTAGTCTTTCCAAGGCAGTTATGGTTCAGGGGACATGACAGATGTGAAATGAGAAGAAAGGTGGTCCCGAAGGAACCGTGCTATTGGTGGAAATGGAGGCGATTCAAAGAATTTTTTACAGCAGCCTCGAGGACCCTAGTCACAAATCTAAAGATCCTTTTTTTTCCCCCCCCAGAGAAATTTAGTTTGGAAAGACTTTGAAAATACTACTTCCGTCTTCCTGTTGATGTCCCTTGCCTGGTCAATTTAAACTAACAGTGGTATAGACTGACTCCTGTTTCCTTTCTCCCTGCCAGGAGGGACAGAAGGCGAGTTCATCTGTGGCCTTAGCCTTTAGAGCAGTTGATTCACATGGACTGAAATACCCCATAGAGAACTGAGCATCTCTCTGGGTTTGCCTTTCTGGTTATGATCGTGTTTGCAGACTTTCATCTCAAAGGCAAGCTAAGGAGGTATGACTGGTCAGACCTTGGTGAATTTGTTGTACTATGATATTGAGGCATGACATAATCAGAGAAAATTGTGTCGATCTCAAGTGTATTCTCCATGGGGTTTCACAAACTGAAGACACCTGTGGAACCAGTGCCCAGATTAAGACCTATACTCTCCCCCAATCTCCCCATGACACCTATAGGCACTATCCCTCAAGGGTAACCATCATCCTGCTTAGTTTTGTCAGGCGAGTTTTATTTTTATTACTATTATTTATCATTGTCATTTCAAAGTGAAAATGAAACCGCCAGATGATGTTCTACCTCCTTTTTTATGTATGCAAACCAAAGGTAGTTAGTTACACCTAAGCCAGTCCAGAAAATTAGAAGGGAGAATTTGGTCTTAAGATCTGGTTGGAGTCTGAACTGGTTGTACCCCCACACACACCCTGATCATTGGTTCTTGGGTGGTGGGACCAGCCGACCCCAGATATAACAGTGATGACATAAATAGAGGCGGGTTTATTCATAGAGTGTATTTGAATAATACAAACCTGAAATAGTGTGGTAATAACATAAATGAAGAAAAGGTATGAATGAATTCTCATTCGAAACATAAAAATGGAAATATTTTGAATTCCTCAAGGTGAAAAATTTGGTGGATAATCAGAATTTCAAGGCTGAGTGATTTATGAGCTATTCGGGCTGTTGCCACATGGTGGCGCCACATTGGCGGGAGAACTGAAATACCCACCCTTCTTTCCCAAGCCCTCCGGAAGGAGTCCTAGGAATAAAATCCAACAGTTCAGGATGTCCAAAAGTGATTTCTGTACACTGTGGTTTTGCAGTGTCTGGCAGGCAGGCCTCCCTCTGGTGCGTGCCAAGTCCATGGCTAGAACGCTATCCCAGCTTGTGGGTTGGGGGCAGGTGGAGCTGAGACACTGTTGCTTTCTCTTTAGTAATGTGGAGCTGTGGTATGTCTTTGGAATTTTAAAGAGGGTCAGTTGAGAAGCTGGCTTAGGTGTGTTATGGGTTCTTTTGGTCTCATTTCATTCCAGAATTCCCCAAAGGTCTGAGACAAGGAGTTCTCTTTCCTGGGGCAGGTAGCCCTTTTCACAGAGCACTGTCCATGGTGAACTCAGAATAATAAACAGGCCTGGATGTAGCCCAACTGCTGCTGGTAGAAATGCCCTCTGCCTTCCACAGTGTGGGGGCCAGGCCACCAGGAAAGTCCTCAGGAAGGTGAGGATTCTGTAGCCAGCTGTGGAGATGGCTAAATGAACCCATTAAATGCCCTTCTCCCATTCATCACCTTTTCCTCTTCCTGTCAGTGTGACTGAATGCCATTTAGATGATTGGATTTGTGTGATGGCTGCATGCCTCTGATTGCTAAGAGTGTTGAATATTTGCCATGTGCTGGACACTAAATATATACATATATATATATATATTCATTTAATCTTCACTATAAGAGGAAGATGGCTTTCCCATTTTATAGATGAAGGAACCGGGCCTTGAAAATTAACCACTCTTTCTAAGTTTACACAGTATGTGAGCCAGAGCGAGGTTTGAGACCCAGGTCTCTCAGACAACTTCCCTAGCTGAACTGTACCCTTCTGCAGGGTTAGAGAAGTCTTGCATAATTCTTTTGTTCTCCTTGACACCTAGCATAGCACTTTACATGTAATAGCTACTTAAGTCTAAGTATGGGATTGCCATACATAGCAAATTCTCGGCTGAGCAGGAGGGCAGTTCAGACACTGAGGGATGAGAATTTGGGGTTGAGTCCATGCAATCTGTAACATTGGGACTGAGTGTGTGCCCATCACGTATAGTCTTCTTTTGTGTCTAAAATTTTATGTAAATGAGGACCTGTCATTTATTTTTGTGATTTGGTTTTTTCACCTAATGTTGCTTTTTGATATGTGTTGATAACATATGTTGCTAATTATAGATGTACTATTTCTTTGATATACCAGAGTTTAAATATTCCCCATCGATGGACCAAAAAAAAAATGGTCTTACCATTTGCTGTTACAAACAGCACTGCAGGGAATATCCTTGGTAAGCTCTTGTAGAAATATGCAAAAGTGTGTCTAGCGTGTACACCCCCTGAAGTTGAATATCTGGATAGTAGGATATGCTCGCATCAACATTGGTCTGTTGCTTCAACCCTACTAGGTTTTGCAAATTGCCCTCTGAATTAGCTGTGCCATGTAGCTCTGTGTTGGAGTTCCTTGTATCCCCATATCCTCAACTGTGCCTCCTGTTAATCAGATACTTTAGTTTCAGTTAATCTGATAAGCATGGAATGTATTTCACTGCTCTTTTACTTTGCATTTCCTTTAGAGATCTTTAAAAAATATCGATTTTCAAGTTTTCTATGCATTGCCATTTTTTACTAGATAAAACTTGTAGATCTTTAAACTCATCTGAAATTTATATTTCTGTATTGTGTGAGGCAGCAATCTAATTGTTTTCTATATTTGAAACCATTGATTTCATTATCATTTAATGAATACTTAACTATTTTCTCATTTATTTTGTTGCCATCTCTGTCATGTACCAATTTCTGTTATATTCTTGGATCTGTTTCTTAACTCTGTTCTGTTCCCTATGTAATTCCTCAGCTAATACCATTTTCATTTAATTATTAAAGCTTGATAATAAATCTTCCCTTCTTAGCCTTTTTTTTTCAAAATTGTCATGGCTGTTCTTAACCCTGTAGGCTTCAACATGAATTTTAGGATCTATCTGAAATATCCCTTCCCATGAAAAATACTGTTATCAAAATTTGGTAAAACATCAAATAAAATTACTTAGTTGTTTCTTTTTCTTCAAATATAGTGCTAATCAACACTTTTAATATCCCATTATTTACTATGAAATTTTAGTCCCCATTTTAAGTGGATTCACTTTAAGTGACTCTTCTTTGGTACCAGGTATCCTGGAATAATAAGGACCATATTTTTTAAAATTAAATTTATTGGGGGTGACAATGGTTAGTAAAATTATATAGGTTTCAAGTGCATTTCTGTAATACATCATCTATATATCACATTATGTACTCACCACCCAGGGTCAGTTCTCCTTCTGTCATCATATATTTGACCCCCTTTACCCTCTTCTACCATCCCCCTCCCCCCTTACCCACTGGTAACCACTAAACTGTTGTCTTTGTCTATGAGTTTTTGTTTCTTTGCTTATCTTGTTCCTTTGTTGCTTTTAG